TAGTATTAGCGTCGTCTAGATAACTCTCTCTTCTTCCTCGCGACGAGTCTGGGCCTCTTTGGCAATGTTTCCAGACATGGGGAAGAAGACGCAGATGACGAAAAAGTCAGGAAAAGGCAAACAGAAAGCAGCGAAAACTGAGGAAAAGAGAGCTCGCAGAGAGACCAGAAGCTCTCACCTGAGGATGACATCGATGCCATTTTGGTAATTTCATACTCGAACTATGCATGTATGTACATATATGTCATTTTGTGCTTGGTAATTAGAGTTATGGATCATATGAGAACAACTGAAATAGTTTGTGGGAATTTTGAACAGTGTTGGAAAAAAATCGGGTTAGGCGGCCGCCTAGGCGCTCGGCGGCCGATTTTTCGCAATCGTTGTCTGTGATTCCCATATGTATGTCATTTTGTGCTTGTTAATTAGAGTTATGGATCATTTGAGAGCAGCTAAAATAGTTTGTGGGAGTTTTAAACAGTGTTGGAAAAATCTGCCTAGGCGGCTAGGCTCTCGACGGCCGATTTTGGGCAATTGTTGTCTATGATTCCCATATGTATGTCATTTTGTTCTCGTTAATTAGAGTTATGGATCATTTGAGAACAACTGAAATAGTTTGTAGGGGTTTTAAACAGTGTTGGAAAAATCGGCCTAGGCGGCCCATTTTTTGCAATCGTTGTCTGTGATTCCCACCCAAGATTCCTTTTTTGTTATTGTTTATTTTCTATCTGATAGTTTATTTGCACCAAAGGTATGATGTTTGTGGAAATTCAGAATTCCCATCCAGATTCATTGCAAGAATTTCCTATATGTATTTTGCAAAATTTCCAAAATTTAAGGCTTTAATAATATATGTTATTTCCAAAATTTCCAACAGACCATATGGCACTATCATGGAGGGTGTCAAGTTGGGAGGGTTGTTGATAAAGGATATGGAGTTCTTGGTATTGATTCTCTGAGGGTTATTGATGGTTCAACGTTTTATCACACCCCGGGTGCTAATCCTCAAGCTACTGTCATATATACATAATCTTCACGAAAATCTTATACTAATTGCTGCTTAAACCTGCATTTTGGTTTCGTTTGTTGTGTATGTGGTGCAGGTACATGTGGCAAAGGATTCTGCATGACAGATTAGACCATGGATCAAAAAAGAAAAATTGATCTGGTCACTTATGTTTCCCAAACATAAAGTCAATTAGTGATTGTTGGAATATATGTCTCTGAGACATTTGATTAATATTGTAGAGATTGGAACCTAAAATTTTAAAATCCATATAGTTGATGTCATGTTTATTTACCTATCATCACATTTGGTGTTGAATTGATCAGATCTGGTATGGTTCAAGCAAAACTTTCTGTACTCAGCTTGACTAGATTAGCCTTCCTGTGATTGAATATACGCCATACTAATAAAACTAAATTAGCTCTAAAAATAATTAGTTAGTTTTTGTTTATTTTGTTAAGAGCGTAATTAGGAAGGAAACTAGTAAAGAAGGTGAGGATGACACAACACAACTGCAAGCACTTTCAGAACTTTTGATCACATGGGCTGCTCTAACTTCATGAAGTCCTTCAGGCAGGCCTTATTTTTCTTCAGTTGTGATGATTTTTTTTTGTACATCGTTCGCAAAAGAGAGATTTGTAAAATGATTACCAAATTAACGAATGAGGGATTGCGCACAATCATGGCATGGTTAGAGAGAGATACCCACAGAAGGACTGAAGGTGCAGCAGATTAACTATAGTCAAACTAATTTGGAGATCCTATAATGATGGCTCACTATAAAAGTGAGACTCTTTTGTATTCAAGACAGAAATTACTAATATACACAAGTAGGCAAAAAAGAAAAGAAGACGAATAAGATTAGGATATGCTGTTAGTCCTTCTTTCTTAGCCCTTATAATAACATGGGGAGGCAACTCCTTTCATCTACTTTTTTCCTGCTTCAACTTCATTGCACATTTTCATGGACACAGAGAGTGGAAGAATCTCATATGCTAGGAAAGAGCGCTTTCAAGGCTCGGATAAGGAGGAGAAGAATCTAGCAGCAGAATGAGCCCTGGCCCCAACAAAATCCTTGAAAAGCAGCCCTTGATGGATGTTCACAGCATAATCCTTAGGATATGCCATTTGTGCTTACTGGTTTTGGAGTCTTTGAGCCCTTATATAACCTGTGCCGGGCCATCATTGAAAAAGTATACTTGAAGAAGCTATACATTGTAGAAGAAGTATACTTGTCAAGTAAGCAAAGCAGTCATAGGGCTCCTCTTTCTTGGCAGGCACTGGTGACTAATGCAGCTACAAATGTACAATCACTTTAAGTGACCTGCCAAAGAAGAGTTGCCCTACGATTGCTTTGGCTTAATGAAATTTGCAGCCTGTCTGATCATGCAGTAGAGCCCTGTCATGCAAACCATATACGGCAAGGTATAATATTAGGCTAGGCTAACCAAGGATATACTTAGGTTTTATCATATTTGAAAATAATGGTAGAGGTAGAGCTTTAATACTGAAGTTATTTTTTTTGAACAAAGGTGTTCTGCTTTGTGACTAAGCAAGCAGGCAAAGTGAGTTTACCATGTGGCCTTGCACAATGCAGGGAAATAGTGTGATTTTGTATAGGTGGAAGCCATATATACAAGCAATTATTAATTTCCCTGATCCCTTTTGTCAGTTGTGTCCATATGGCTTTGTCTGAGAGGATGTTCTTGCTATGTGCTTATACTTTGGTTTGGGATACATAATTGTTATCATAGTTAAATATCCCCCACTCCAAAGTGTTTTGAGTGCTCTTGTTTCTCGAAATGTCCTTCTCCGAGACTTTACAGTCCATCTTTGAAAATCTTTTTCCTTTATCATTTATTCATCGGAAATGCTATAGCCGACCGGCTATACTGTTTTTAATTTTAAAAAACGTAGTATAGCCGCCTGGCTATACGTAGTATATCCGCTTGGCTTTACTATTTATTAAAAAAGAATTAAAGAAGGGACCCTCCTATTTGAATTAATTTATACTTTATAGATATTAATTCCCTAGTTTCAATATATCCAAAACATAGATTTAAGAGAGTGAAATTTCAGACTAAATCAATTTGAGAGTTCTTTTTTTTTTTTTTTCTTTTTTTTGTGTGTGTGGGAATGTTTGCATTTGATCTACCTCGTTCTCTCTAGTGCTTTTTTTTATATAAATTATGTTACTTCACACCTTATTTTTTGTAGATAATTGCATGCTGAGTTGAAGTGCTCTTGGTAATTGCTTCACTTTCCAAACAACACTTCACATGAAGAATACTATCACCGCTCTTTCTACTATGCCCATAAATCTTAGTTTGAAATTGTTGATTTGGTAAAGAAAAGAGATTGCAAAATCATTGAACTTGCATTTTTCTTACAACAAGTAAGAAATAAAATAATATTAGTCTCTCACATTCTTTCATAGTTCGTAAAATACGGAATGGGAAAAATACAAATAAAATACATACGTATTTTAGTCGGCAAACTTTTGGCAAATTACAACTAAAAAGTTCGGCCACTATATAACATTGTAATATAATTTATTTAATTTTTTAAGAGAAATGATTTCCCTACTCCTATTTTATCCACTTACACTCCTTTTTTAGTTATAAAAAAGGAGTGTAAGTGGATAAAAGAGAAGAAATAGGAGTGGGGAAATCACCACTCTTTTTTAATAGTTGTTATTTTTATTCAATTATATGTGAAAATTATGTGTATAATACTTGAATTTGATGTGTGTTTTTGAAAAATTTGTAACAAAAACGTGTATTAAACATGAAAAATACATACGCACGTGTACAATATGAGTATTGTATGTTTGCTTTTTTTTTAAACGTGTATATTATGGAGTCTTTAAGACTTGTACACAAATAAAAACTCATCTTAAGTCTATAGCTGATTAGCATTAGTGAAATAAGATGAGTTTTTATTTGTATTCACTTGAGCATATCTGCCAAGTGTGAGGTCAAAATAGTCATGTGTAGTGATTCTAGAATTGAGATAGATGGATGGCTGAGATTCATTGTGGCTTGTGTGAATCCAGCTAAGAGCTAACGATCATGTAGTACATGCCGTATGAGCTCATTCTTACAGATAGAAATATACAAAACGTTTGCTCACGTACTGTGTGAGTAAGCAGAGCATTCTTACAATATTCTCTAGTCCTTCATTCTTCTCGAACAGACCAATTCGCAAAACCCAGACTGAATACCAAAACACTAACGTGAGTCCCTAGTTGCCCTTGAGTACATTGATGAGGTTTGGAAGGATAAAACTCTTTAGTTGCCCTCTGATCCTTACCTTGGAGCCCAAGACAGGTTATGGGCTGACTTCGTTGACAAGAAGGTATAATTTTACTAACTTACTAATTTTTTACCATAAATCCTATATCAACATGAAAATATTAGTATAGAACCTTTAGATGGAGTTCTAAAGAATTACTGTGAAAATCTCGAAATATGGATAAAGGGTCTTTAACCTCCTGTTTAACCATAAAATTTTCTGCAATTTTGGTGATGTTAAATGCAGGTGTATGAGATTGGGAGGGTGCTATGGACAACCAAAGGAGAAGAGCAGGAAGCAGCTAAGAAAGAGTTCCTTGAGTGCATTGGATTGTTGGAAGAGAAGCTTGGAGACAAGACTTACTTTGGGGGTGAGACCCTCGGGTTCGTCGATGTGGCGCTTATTCCGTTCTATAGCTGGTTTTATGTGTATGAGAAACTTGACAACTTCAGTATAGAGGCAGAGCAGCCAAAGTTTTATGCATGGGCAAAGAGGTGCATGCAGAAGGAGAGTGTGTTTAAGTCTCTTGCTGACCAGAAAGCGATCTATGACTTGTTTCTGCAGCGCATGAAAGCGAGGGAGATTGATCAGTAGATGCATGGACACTTGAGCTTGTGGTTTTTCTGTGTGTCAAGTTTTGGGTTCTTTATATTTGCAATAAAAGAGGGCAACTTTGTTGTGCCTGATCTTGTCATATGCTCTCCTTTTGTTTGGTTTTGCAGTCAAATTATCAAATTGTTGTGAACTTGTTATAGCAAAGAAGTTTAAGCCATTCAAGTATCAACAATCAACCAAAAAACATAATTTAGACACACACAAAAAACCAAAGGATCTCTCACTGGAAAAACAAAGTTGAAAGGAAAATGAACCAGAAGAGAACAACAACATAACATTTGATTGCAGGACTGGCTAGCAGCCTATTCTATCCAGCGATCCAGCCAAGAAGAAACTCATACACCTTTTTAGGGTCGGCAAGAGATTTCGACACGCTCTCCCGCTGCATGCACCTCTTGGCCCATTCAATCAGCTTGGGGCACTCTGCCTCTGTGCTGAAGTTTCCAAGGGTCTCAAATGCATAAAACCAGTTGTAGGATGTGATGAGAGCAATGTCCAAGAACCCAAAGCTCTCACCCCCAAAGTAAGGCTTGTCTCCAAGCTCTCCTTCCAACTGCTTAAGGATGTCGATGAATTCCTTCTTGGCTTCCTCAAGTTCTTCTCCTTTTGTGCTCCATAGTTTCTTCCTAGCATCAGGTACCTACAATTTTCCAAAAGAAAAATTGTAGATTGTTCAGTGTTTTCACTTTTTATAAAAAATTCCACCAAAAGAAAACAAGAGGAATATACAAAAATAAATTGGTGTTGTTCTTCGTTGTCTCAGACAACAATATGTTGCACATTAACCTGTTTCAAAAATGGCTTAACCTCAAAATTGATCTGCTTCCCCTTAAAAAAATATATGTATGTGCTCTGAATTTCTTTTTAGGATATGTGAAAACATACCAATTTCAAATATGTCCATCTTTTTCTTTTTTTTTTCAGTATGATCACAAAAAGAGAATGACATTCCAAAACACATGCAAACCCAAATCACATCCAAAATGAAATTAAATTGCAAACAATATATACATATGATACCAACTTAAAAGGAGAAGGGAAAATAGAAAACTATACAGAAAACAAGTTCACTAATTACCTTCTTATCAATGAAATCAGCCCAGACCCTGGCCCGAGCTCTCTGGTAAGGATCAGAGGGAAGCAAAGGAGCTTTACCCTCCCAAACCTCATCAATGTATTGCACAATGATGAGTGACTCACAGACCGGTTTACCGTTGTGGATGAGAACCGGGATCTTCTTGTGAACCGGGTTCATCTCCAGAAGCAGTGAGCTCTTGTTCCTCAAGTCCTCCTCTCTGTACTCATACTTGACACCCTTCTCGTCCAGAGCTATCGTTGCCCTCGTCCCATACATGCTTGGCCAGAATCCCAAAACAACAACCTCATCGTCCGCCATTTCCGACACACACACAAACTTCTTCTTCTTGTAGCAGCTTAGCTTGTTGCTAAACTCAAAGACTCATCAAGCAAGAAAAGCATGCAGCACTGACTTCTGCTAAGACTGCAATTTAAGTGTAACGTTTATATAATACAAAAGGATGATGCGACATCGTTTTGGCTTTTAACTATGAGGTGTCTGCGTGTGCTTTGGCATGTAGTGTTGACATTTGTAAACTTGATCAATAGTGCCAGAAGTTGTCACTGCTTTCGTCATATGTGATTGTGGGCTAGCATTTTAGGTGATCTTTAAAAAGTTGATGCTACAGCACTAAGTGCTAGTCATAATTTAAAGCTTCTAAATAAATAAGTTTTATCAATGGTAAAGCCGAAGTCTTGAGGATCCACTTGTCATAAAAGTTTTATATTGAAAGATAAATATCTTCAAGATTGGAGCTGCACGATTTGCCAGAGAGTGATTATGCTGCTTATCACCTTGCTTCTATCCAATGGGAGTTTTTCTTTTTGGGGTTCGAGTGTTTAAAGTAGCTCCTATTTATTTACTTTAATAGGTCATAGTCTAAATTACTAGATGAAAGAGTTTTTCACACGCATTAAGAAGGTGTCACGAGGATTTTTCACATTCATCTGCAAGTCAAGGCCCTTTTTCGGATCCGGTTGACAAGCAGCTCCTATTTTTTTTAGATTGAGAAAAAAAAAACAAGATATATCTTAAAATGAAAGGAAAAATAACTAAAGTAGAGCAAAGACACGTCTAAGTGTCCATTTTATTACTGTTATAATACAAACATACCCTTTTGACATAACATTCAGAAGACACAGCAAAGTGTCTCATCAGAAAAAAAAAAAAAAAAAAAATTGAAGCTGAAAGGAAAGAAAACTAGAACAGCCTAAGACTTCATTGCAAGATTTTCTAATTAACATGGTGTGATAATTAATATGCTAAAACCCTGTTTTCTTTTTCTACTCCATACCAAGCATCTTCTTCATGCCAATAACGAACTCATACACCTTTTTATGGTCAGGAAGTGTTTTGCACACACTGTCCTTCTGCATGCACCTCTTGGCCCATGCAATCAGCTTGGGACACTCTGCCTCTACGCTGAAGTTTCCACAGGTCTCAAATGCATAGAACCAAGCTGTAGAATGTGATAAGGGAAATGTCCAGGAACCCAAAACTCTCACCCTCAAAGTAAGGTTAATTTGTTTCCAAGCTCTCCTTCCAACTGCTTCAGGACTTCGATAAATTCCTCCCCAATTTTAAGAAAATTTGCATAAAAAAATTGCTAGAGAATTCAATGGGATTAGTTAAAATGTTATTTTTAATCCTACTTCCTTCCTGCAGAGAATTATCACTCACCAAAAAAAAACACTGTTTCTGCGAAGCTTATAGGGCTTCCAGCTCCCCCATGACTATTCAGTTTATCGAAACACATACAATAAAAGACAATACAAAAACAAATGGACTTGTTTCCGTCAAACTCTCTGGTCATATGTTTTTGGTGGTTTGCCTTTGTAGTCAAATTATCAAGTTGTCAACTTCTATTACGAAAATGTTTTCTTGTCAACTGCATTAAATGCTTTCTTGTCAACTGCATTAAATGCTTTCTAGTCAACTGCATTATGATATTTAAATGTTTTCTTGTCAACTGCATTATGATATTTCAATGTTTTATGTTCTGTGGCTCAAGAAGCCATATATATCACCTCCCTTGACCCAAAAAACAAAAAAAAAGGCTATCGCTTATCTCCTTCAAATATTTTATATGCCTAAAAAGTCATTAAAAAATGTATATTTTCAGTTTATTTTTTGGTCCTGAGTATTTGTGTTGCGTGTTCAAGTTCGTCTACCTAAAACCGATGAGGTCCTTTAATAAAATCCATACGTTAGTCCTACTTTCTCAATTATATTATTAGGAACAGTATTCAATGAAAAGGAAAACAATAAAGATTAGATATCGAACGCATGCAATGACGTAATCTGATTGCTGCTGCTTTGAATGTTTTCCCATATAATAAATACTCACACTGACACACATCACCGCCATCCACAGCTCCATATCTTAATTAAGCTAAGTTCAAATTTGAGTCTTCAATGGCGGATGAGGTGTTGTTGTTGGACTTCTGGCCAAGCCCATTTGGGATGAGGCTGAGAGTTGCACTGGCTGAGAAGGGCATTCAGTACGAGTACAAAGAGGAGGACTTGAGTAACAAGAGTGCACTGTTGCTCCAGTCGAACCCGGTTCACAAGAAGATCCCGGTTCTCATTCACAATGGCAAACCGGTGTCCGAGTCCCTAGTTGCCCTTGAGTACATTGATGAGGTTTGGAAGGATAAAACTCCTCTGTTGCCCTCTGATCCTTACCTTAGAGCCCAAGCCAGGTTCTGGGCTGACTTCGTTGACAAGAAGGTATATTTTACTAACTTACTAATTTTTTACCATAAATCCTATATCAACATGAAAAATATTAGTATAGAACCTTTACATGGAGTTCTAAAGAATTACTGTGAATATCTCGAAATATGGATAAAGGGTCTTTGACCTCCTGTTTAACCATAAAATTTTCTGCAATTTTGGTGATGTTAAATGCAGGTGTATGAGATTGGGAAGGTGCTACGGTCAGCCAAAGGAGAAGAACAGGAAGCAGCTAAGAAAGAGTTCCTTGAGTGCATTGGATTGTTGGAAGAGAAGCTTGGAGACAAGCCTTACTTTGGGGGTGAGACCCTCGGGTTCGTTGATGTGGCTCTTATACCGTTCTATAGCTGGTTTTATGTGTATGAGAAATTTGGCAACTTCAGTATAGAGGCAGAGCAGCCAAAGTTTTATGGATGGGCAAAGAGGTGCATGCAGAAGGAGAGTGTGTCCAAGTCTCTTGCTGACCAGAAAGCGATCTATGACTTTTTTCTGCAGCGCATGAAAGCGAGGGGGATTGATCAGTAGATGCATGGGCACTTGAGCTTGTGCTTTTTCTCTCTCTAGTTTCAACCTGTGTTTTGTGTTCTTTATATTTGCAATAAGGCGGCACTTGACCAAGCCCGCTACAGTATATGGGGGAGCTTTGTTGTATATGGTTTTTTAGTCAAATTATCAAATTGTTGTGAACTTTTTATATCAAATGATTTTGAGCCATTCAAATATCAACAAGCAGCTGAAAAAAAATAATTTAGACACACAACCAAAGGATCTCTCACCGGAAAAACAAAGCTGAAAGGAAAAAGAAAAAACAGAAGAAACACAGCCTAACATTTGATTGCAGGACCTCCTATGGTGATAATATGCTGGCTAGCAGCCTATTCTATCCCGCTATCCGACCAAGAAGAAACTCATACACCTTCTTAGGGTCGGCCAGAGATTTCGATACGCTCTCCCGGGGCGTGCATCTTTTGGCCCATTCAATCAGCTTGGGGCACTCTGCCTCTGTGCTGAAGTTTCCAAAGGTCTCAAATGCATAAAACCAGCTGTAGAATGTGATGAGAGCAATGTCTAGGAACCCAAACCTCTCACCCCCAAAATAAGGCTTTTCTCCAAGCTCTCCTTCCAACTGCGTAAGGATTTCGATGAATTCCTTCTTGGCTGCTTTATGTTCTTCTCCTTTTGTGCTCCATAATTTCTTCCAAGCATCAAATAACTACAATTTTCCAAAAATACAAAAAAAAATAATAATAATAAAAGAAAAGAAGCATCAAGAGAAAATTCCTTCTTGGCTGCTTCATTGTTTTCTTTTTCTTTTTAATAAAAAATTCTACCAAAATAAAAGAAGAATAATATACACAGAAAATTAGCGTTGTTCTGTATTCTCTCAGACAGCAACATGTTGCATATGTTAATTACTACCTTTTTATCAATGAAATCAGCCCAGAATCTGGCACGAGCTCTCTGGTAAGGATCAGAGGGAAGCAGAGGAGCTTTATCCCTCCAAATCTCATCAACATACTGCACAATGATGAGGGACTCACAGACCGGTTTACCGTTGTGGATGAGAACCGGGATCTTCTTGTGAACCGGGTTCATCTGCAGAAGCAGCTAGCTCTTGTTACTCAAGTCCTCCTCTCTATACTCATACTTGACACCCTTCTCGTCCAGAGCTATCGTTTCCCTCGTCCCATACGTGCTTGGCCAGAAACCCAAAACAACAACCTCCTCGTCCGCCATTGTTGGCACACAAACTTCTTCTTCTTGCAGCTCAGCTTAGCTTCTTGGTAAACTCCAAGACTGACTGATGAACAAGAAAAGAATGCAGCACTTAATTCTACTGCTGAGGCTGTAATTGAAGTGTAACGTTTTATATATTGACATTTGTTTGAAGATTATCTGTGATGCAGTGGTTGATGTTAATTAGCAATTAATCAAAGTGATTAGCAAGTGCCAGAAATTGTCATTGCTTTCGTCATTTGTGATTGTGGGCTCTCTCCCAAAATATTTTATACGAAGAGATCAGAGAACCATGCACTTTGAATATAACTCAAGGTGATGTAGACCACATTACTGACTACGTGTATTATAGGAGTGGTCAACAATAGAATTATTTAAAGTAAGTTGATGCTTCAGAACTAAGTGCTAATCACAATTTAAAGCTTCTAATTAAATAAGTTTTATCAATGGTAAAGCCGAAGTCTTGAGCACCCACCTGTCATAAAAGTATTATGTTGAAAGATAAATATCTTCAAGATTGGAGCTGCAGGATTTGCCTGAGAAAGTGCTTATGCCGCGGATCACCTTGCTTTTGTCATGTGGGAGTTTTTCTTCTGGGCTTTCAAGTGTTTAAAGTAGTTCCCATATGTATACACCAAAGTGTTTATATATATATATATATATATTTATTTATTTAAACGTTAATTTAAATTAGAAGACAAGTAGGATATCTTCACTTCATACACACACTATCAAAATATCATTAAGTTCGAACATGAGTGGGATATCTTCACTTTACAAACACACTATCAAAATGCCAATGCATACTCATCTACAAGTTAAAGGCCCTTTTTACCTGAGCTACACTTCCGTGGGAAGCAGCTCGTATTTTTTAGATTGAGAAGAAAAAAAAATAAGGTTTTTTAGGTTTTAGACATAAAAAAATTTTCACTTTTGGAAAAAGCCAAAGCTTTTTAAAAAAAGACAAAAAAACCACTCAACTTTCAAATCAAAGACATGCAAATGTATTGGATTCCTTAGGAAATCTAAAAATAAATAAGGGCATTTTTGTCCATTTTTGCTTCTTTTAAAATTTTTCTCTCTCCTTTTGCTTTTTTCAAAATGTCCCAAAAAAATATGCATCTTAAAATGGAAGGAAGAGAGAACTAAAGTAGAGCAAAGACACATCAAAGTGTCTATTTTATTATTTTTATTATACAAACATACCCTTTTGACATAACATTCAGAAGACACACCAAAGTGTCTAACCGGGGGAAAAAAAAAAAAAAAAAAAAAAAAAAAAAAAAACCCCCGAAAGGAAAGAAAACTAGAATTAAAGCCTATTTTCTTATTCTATTCCACACCAAACATCTTCTTCATACCAAGAACAAACTCATAGATCTTGTTTTTGTCAGGAAGAGTTTTGGACACATTCTCCTTCTGCATGCACCTCTTGGCCCATGCAATCAGCTTGGGACACTCTGCCTCTGTGCTGAAGTTTCCACAAGTCTCAAATGCATAGAACCAGCTGTAGAATGTGATGAGAGCAATGTCCAGGAACCCAAAACTCTCACCCTCAAAATAAGGCTTGTTTCCAAGCTCTCCTTCTAACTGCTTAAGGACTTCAATGAACTCCTTCTTGCCTGCCTCTTGTTCCTCCCCTTTGTGGCCCATATTTTCCTCCCAGCATCATATAGCTGCAATTTTAAGAATCATTCCATCAGAAATTGCTAGAGAATTCAATTGGGATTAGTTAAAATGTTTCCAAGCTACCTTCTTATCAATGAAATCAGCCCAGAACCTGGAGCGAGCTCTCAGGTAAGGATCAGAGGGAAGCAGAGGAGCTTTGTCCCTCCAAACCTCATCAACATACTGCACAATGATGAGAGACTCGCAGACCGGTTTGCCGTTGTGGATGAGAACCGGGATCTTCTTGTGAACCGGGTTCATCTGCAGAAGCAGTGGGCTCTTGTTCCTCAATTCCTCCTCTCTGTACTCATACTTGACACCCTTCTCAGCCAGCGCCACTCTGGCCCTCATCCCAAACATGCTTGCTCAGAAGTCCAAAAGAATAACCTCGTCCGCCATTGTTGACACAGAAACAAGCTTCTTCTAGCTCTATCTCTAGCTCTAGCTTGACACTACTACACTGAGCCGAGAAGAGGTTTGATATGTTTGCATGTGCTTAAAAATTGTCGTGGCTGATTTTGGGAGGGGTTGTGATGTGGTGTATGTCGTTTGCTTGAACGTGTCGTTTTTTGCAACCGAAGCTTCTGGGAGATGTCAGTGCTTTCGAGGTTGCAACTTGCAGCTAGCTACATGTGGAATATTCCATGATGCGAGGCTTACTCTATTCAAGTATATCTTCTACCAATAAACCGTTACATATAAAAACCCGTCATACCAACCACGTAATATCGTGACAGGTACCATTGAAAAATCTTCTACCAATAAACCACTCCTGTCAAATGTAGCCATGTGGTACGTTACAGATGTTGTTAGGGTAATTTGGTCCATTCATTCCTCTTATACTCTTGGATCTGTTGTTTTTGAGCTTAAATTACAAACCACTCACTCGAAGGGCCTACCACTTGATTTTAGTGACTTATATTGGTCATATTTTACCTTTGCTTGATATTAGTCTCATACTGAACTTTCGCACAATATCATCTCCTAGCCTTCTCTAATTTGATGGCTGAAGCTCCCTAAAATGATCGATCAGACATTGACAGACACATCAAAGTGTTTGTCTTGATACAGATCCCCTTGCGTTACGTAGACACACCAAGGCCCCGTTTGGTTTATAGGAAAGAAGACTTGGAAATGGGAAATCAATTGATTTTCCATGTTTGGTAAATCTAAGTATGATAAATCGTTACCTGGCTCATGGGAAAGTATGAGGGAAAGTTAAGACATCCTCCCAACTTGAGTTTTGTTTTCCCTCCTCATGGGAAAGTTTGGGAAAATGGGCTAACATTAAATACATATTTTTTATGACCATTTTATCCCCATAAACAATTTAGAATTACAATATATCATTAAATGCATTATTTTTTTATTTGATTTAATATGGGTATAATTGAAAATTTATACAAACTTTGTTTTTCATTCCTACTCAAAATAAACATGGGAAATGAAATAAAGTGATATTTCCCAGTTACTTTCCCAGTATTACCAAATGTAGGAAATGAATCTTCCATTCTCATTCCTTGGAAAATGACATGGGAAATAATTTCCCCTCAAATTCATTTCATAAACCAAACGGGGCCCAAAAGTGTTCACCAGAATTTCATACATGCTAAGAACACAAGCTGGTCTCATGTCATATTAGATTGAAAGTTCACAAAATATATATACTAAATTAATTAATTAGACAAAATTAAGGCAAAAGAACTTACATTCTTATCAATGTAATCAACCCAAAACCTGGCCTGAGCTCTCTGGTAAGGATCAGAGGGAAGCAAAGGAGCTTTGTCCTTCCAAGCCTCATCAATGTATTGCACAATGTTGGCTGACTCACAGACCGGTTTGCCGTTGTGGATGAGAACCGGGATTTTCTTGTGAACCGGGTTCATCTGCAGAAGTAGTGGGCTCTTGTTGTTGAGCAAATCCTCCTCTCTGTACTCATACTTGACACCCTTCTCAGCCAGCGCAACTCTCACCCTCATCCCAAACATGCTTGACCAGAAGTCCAAAAGAACAACCTCGTCCGCCATTATACACACAATTAAGCTAGCTAGTTGCTTGCTTGTTAAAACTCAGACTCAGAAAACAAAAGGCTATATGGTGCTCAGGCAGGCTGTATGCAATGTGCAAGGCATACATACATATATATATATATATATTATATTTAATTGTCAAATGAGAATCAAACTCGTATAAATACAAATTCAACGTTCTTATTTGTCGTAAGTTCGATACTTATTTGTAGTTGGTTGCGATTATTTTCACTTGGTTGCACATGAGCTTAATTAGTGGTTATGTTAGGTTATCTGACAGGATAATTGAGCATTGTTTGTTTGGCTCTTTCTGGGTGGAGGTCACCGAGGACGGGATACTCGCTAAGTGTTGACTGGAACGGAAATAAAATATTCAAATTGTTCATCCAGTCTTTTATTTTTATTTTGTGGCAGGTATCTTGTCTATTCTTCTAATAATAATAAAATCTGACGAAATAAAGTATTCATTCTATAAATAAATAAATAAAGACTAAACAAAATATATAATCATCGTCACGCTTGGGGCACAATCATCGTCAGCCTCTTGAATGGCATTGCAACAATCTGGAAAGCTATTAAGGTATAATGAAATTGAAGAAAAACAAATTGATAGGTAAGTAAAAGTAAAATAAATTATAAGTAAGAAAGTGAGCTTGGTACAGTGAAATACATCAAAGACGCTGTTCTAAAGCCTTTGTAGCCTCCTTACATGCAGGTACTGACAGTCGACAAGACTCCAAGATACGACTCTAATACACAAACTCAAGATCCGCTATGAGCACGTTCACATGTACTGAGGTGTTGTTCATCCAGTCTTTTATTTTTAGTTTTTGGCAGGTGTCTTCTAATAATAATAATAAAATTTGACTACATAAAATATTCATTCTATAAAAAAACTAAACAAAGTTGCTCATGTGCATTATATATATATATATATATATATAATATTCAGAGATGATGCATGAAGATCTTCAAGATCTATAAAATCTGACCTCACATCTGCACGTGTGCACGTGTGCTCGTGACTCGTGAGGAAGAGAGAAACATAGGGGAGAGAGAGAATCAAAGAGAGAAAGAGGAGGAAGAAAGAAAAGAAAGAAGAAGAAGAAGACGAAAGGATCACATAGAGAAAGAAAGCGGTGGAGAAAAGGTGGGGGGTTTTGGAGTTGGGCCACTGAAATGGTTGGGGTAATCGGAGAGTCGGTCGGGCTCTTGAATTAGGGCATAACAAATTGGATTAATTCTAGTTGATGGCTAAAGCTCTTCCCCTAAAATGATCAGGCACTCCAATCCCAAAAACTCTCTACTTTTTCACATGGCCATGGAACACAAAAATAATACATACAAGCAGCGAAAAATATTTAGTTTAGAAGACACCCTTTTTATTCATAATCAGACATTGACAGACACATCAAAGTGTTTGTCTTGATACGCATCCTTTTGAGTTCTGTAGACACACGAAAAGTGTTCACCAGAATCTCATACATACTGAGAACACAAGCTGAAAGAAAGAGAACAAACAGAAGTACAACACAACTGAGAACATATCTCAATTTTTCTTGCTCTATTCCTTACCAAACATCTTCTTCAGCAGAAGAGTAAACTCATACACCTTTTTTGGGTCAGCAAGAGATTTGGCCACACTATCCTTCTGCAAGCACCTCTTGGCCCATTCAATCAGTTTAGGGCACTCTTAAACATGGGAAATGAAATAAAGTGATATTTCCCAGTTACTTTCCCAGTATTACCAAATGTAGGAAATGAATCTTCCATTCTCATTCCTTGGAAAATGACATGGGAAATAATTTCCCCTCAAATTCATTTCATAAACCAAACGGGGCCCAAAAGTGTTCACCAGAATTTCATACATGCTAAGAACACAAGCTGGTCTCATGTCATATTAGATTGAAAGTTCACAAAATATATATACTAAATTAATTAATTAGACAAAATTAAGGCAAAAGAACTTACATTCTTATCAATGTAATCAACCCAAAACCTGGCCTGAGCTCTCTGGTAAGGATCAGAGGGAAGCAAAGGAGCTTTGTCCTTCCAAGCCTCATCAATGTACTGCACAATGTTGGTTGACTCGCTGACCGGTTTTCCGCTGTGGATGAGAACAGGGATTTTCTTGTGAACTGGGTTCATCTGCAGAAGTAGTGGGCTCTTGTTGAGCAAATCCTCCTCTTTGTACTCATACTTGACACCCTTCTCAGCCTGCGCAACTGTCACCCTCATCCCAAACATGCTTGGCCAGAAGTCCAAAAGAACAACCTCGTCCGCCATTATACACACAAGCTAGCTGGCTGCTTGCTAAAACTCAGAGACTCAGAAAACAAAAGGCTATATATATAGTGCTCAGGCAGGCTGTACGCAATGTGAAAGGCATATATATATACAATTTTTCATTTTGGTTTTGTGAATTTAACAGTTGTTACATACCATACCTAAATGGTTTTTTATTTTCTAAGTTATATTTAATTGTCAAATGGAAATCAAACGCTCTTATTCATCGTGAGTTCGATACTTATTTATGATTGGTTGCCATTATTATCACTTGGTCTGATAGGATAAATAAGCACTGTTTGTTGGGCTCTTTCTGGGTGCGGGTTACCGACACTAGTACAATGATTGGGTTTGGACACAATTTTTATTAGTGCTCCTCAATGCAGAAAAACCACAGATATTTGTGCTCCGTGCCAATAACTACCCTGCAGCCACTTTCAAATTGTCGGTTTCCTATATAGCAGTTTCCATTGGTTATAGGTCACAAATTTGTAGTGAGTATCCACCTTTGTAAAGCACAAAAATTGATCTTTGTCAAAATTCAAATATGTTTATTAATCAAATTTACAAGTCAACGCAACATCTAAAACATAATGTGAAACGATATAAAAAATAGTAAAGATAAGTTGTATAACAATTTGGACTCAATCCCAGATGCACAGACAGAGAGAGAGAGAGAGAGAGAGAGAGAGAGAGAGAGAGAGAGAGAGAGAGAGAGCTTTAGGCACGGTTTAAAGTTTTTCATGCCTTATTATCTAACTGTTTTAAACAATTGGTCATGAAAATTATTATTGAGGGGTTAATAGAACTGAGCACTTTGTTATACTTTTTAAAAAAATCTTTATATATAAAGCAAAAAGGCAGAGAATTGTGAAACATTCAAAATACCAGAAAATGCCCTTGGTTAATTCAAACATTAAAATTGAAATTATTAATTAAATAAGGATAATATGGTAAATTAACATTTTATATATTTTTTAAAAAAATCAGATAATAGGTCTTACTTTTATGGAACATAACTACCCATATTATTATTTTTTAATTCTAAAAATAAAATAAAAAATAAAAAATAAAACCAATTGGCACATGCGTGGGAGCTAGTATAATATTAAACACAAAATCGTTGTAAGCGTGTTCCTAAAGTTATTTAGCATATTAATAAATAAAAATTATTTGGCATTTCCACAAAAACTACTTCTTAAAGAAATATATGCTAAAAGCACGAAAATCATGAATTTTGTTTGAAAATGGAAATGGTGTACATTTGACCATTTTATATAGACTATAATATGCGTGCAAAACAAAATGTTTAGGCACGAAAAATATAAATGTGGCCTATATATTCAACTTGTTATAAAAATGATACTTTTTCTCTTTCCGTAAAGCGAAATATAAAAATCTTTATATTATAAATAACATATAAACAAATTGGAAAGCTATTAAGGTACAATGAAACTGAAGAAAAACAAATTGATAGTTAAGTAAAAGCAAAATAAATTATAAGTAAGACGGTGAGCTTGGTACAGTGAAGCACGTCAAAGACACTGTTCTAAAGCCTTTGTAGCCTCCCTATGTGCAGGTATTGACGGTCTATAAGACTCTAAAATACAACCCTAATACACAAACTCAAGATCCTCTATGAACACGTTCACAAACGGATATATTTCCAATTCACATAACCATTGCCCACAAATATACTAATAGAAAGTGGAGAATATATATATATATATATAAGTAGAGAAGGAGAGAATTAGATTGTGGTGATGATTGTGGTATGTGATATTCAGATAGTGTATTATGGTTGTTTAAATGTGAAGGAGGAGTGATCTTTTATAGGCATCTAATAACATGTAATCTTCACCATATTAAATTCGAAAATTAAAGCATTCAATATAAAAATAAAACCTAAAAATTAAATATTTATAGCCCCCACCATAAAACAGCCAAAATAATTAAATAAATCAAAACGGTTAAATTTTTAAACCCTTTTTAAAATTCCAATACAACTTCTTAGTTTATGAGACATGATGTGACTTAAAGAGATACAATTGCAGTATTCATGCTCTATAGGCACCATACTTTGGAATGTGTGCAATACAAAGGCACACAAACTTAGTATCCGTGCTTTATATAGGTAATGAGATTTTTTTTATACACGTAACCATTAGGCACAAAAGTTGTCTATTTATGCTCACTATAGGCCACGAAAGTTGTGCCTAAATTAATTAAGCACAATAATTTTCTTCTTCTGTTTAAATTGGACATGAAATTATTGTGTCTTCTCTACATATGATACAAATACTGCATATATGTGTCCAATATATATATATATATATATGTATATATATCATATCTGAGATCTATTTCAGATATGATGCATGAAGATCTTCAAGATCTATCAAATCTGACCTCACATCTGCACGTGTGTGTGTGTGTGTGTGCTCGTGACTCGTGAGGAAGAGAGAAACATAGGGGAGAGAAAGAATCAAAGAGAGAAAGAGGAGGAAGAAAGAAAAGAAAGAAGAAGAAGAAGACGAAAGGATCACATAGAGAAAGAAAGCGGTGGAGAAAAGGTGGGGGGTTTTGGAGTTGGGCCACTGAAATGGTTGGGGTAATCGGAGGAGAGTCGGTCGGGCTCTTGAATTAGGGCATAACAAATTGGATTCATAGAAAGGAAAAAAAAAACATAAAAACAGCCACTCCAGTTTTGGACCGGCTCTTCCAAGGTGAAACTGATATCGAAACTAGTCAAATCGGTTCAGTTGAGTAGGGTTTTTGAGACCCAAATTTGACTTCATTTAGTCAACATGATTTTTTCAGTTCTTTTTATCTTGGTCCGGCTTGATTCATAGTGTCACCGGTTTAGTTCTAGTTGTCATATTTTCCCTTTGCTTGATAGTATTATCTCATACTTCACACTTTCGCACAATATATCTCCTAGTCTTCCCTAATTTGATGGCTGAACTCTTCGCCTAAAATGACCAGGCACTCCAATCCCAAAAGCTCTCTCTACTTTTTCACATGGCCATGGAAAAAAATTTAGTTTAGAAGACACCCTTTTTATTCATAATCAGACATTGACAGACACGTCAAAGTGTTTGTTTTGATACACATCCTTTTGAGTTACGTAGACACACCAGAAGTGTTCGCCAGAATATCATACTTACTACGAACACAAGCTGAAAGAAAGAGAACAAACAGAAGTACAACACGACTGAGAACATATCTCAATTTTTCTTGCTCTGTTCCTTACCAAATCTCTTCTTCAGCAGAAGAGTAAATTCATACACCTTTTTTGGGTCAGCAAGAGATTTGGCCACACTCTCCTTCTGCATGCACCTCTTGGCCCATTCAATCAGTTTAGGGCACTCTGCCTCTATGCTAAAGTTCCCACATGTCTCATAGGAAAAAAACCGGCAGTAGAATGTGACTAGGGCAACGTCCAAGAACCCAAATATCTCACCCCCAAAATAAGCATTGTCTCCAAGCTGCCCTTCCAACAGCTTAAGGATTTCAATCAATTTCTTCTTGGCTGCCTCTTGTTCTTCTCCTTCTGTGGCGCATATATTCTTCCCAACCTCGTATAACTGCAACACAAAAATATTGCATCAAACAATTTTAATTTTCTTTTGTGTGCACTAGCACGTTAGGTTACGCAAGAAATTGTGAATTTGAACTATTGATCAGCTGAAATCTTGTTATTGAACATTGAACTAACAAGATCTCGTCTCATGTCATATTAGATTGAAAGTTCACAAAATATGTATACTAAATTAATTAATTGGACAAAATTAAGGCCAAAGAACTTACATTCTTATCAATGTAATCAACCCAAAACCTGGCCTGAGCTCTCTGGTAAGGATCAGAGGGAAGCAAAGGAGCTTTGTCCTTCCAAGCCTCATCAATGTATTGCACAATGTTGGCTGACTCACAGACCGGTTTGCCGTTGTGGATGAGAACCGGGATTTTCTTGTGAACCGGGTTCATCTGCAGAAGTAGTGGGCTCTTGTTGTTGAGCAAATCCTCCTCTCTGTACTCATACTTGACACCCTTCTCAGCCAGCGCAACTCTCACCCTCATCCCAAACATGCTTGGCCAGAAGTCCAAAAGAACAACCTCGTCCGCCATTATACACACAATTAAGCTAGCTAGCTGCTTGCTTGTTAAAACTCAGACTCAGAAAACAAAAGGCTATATGGTGCTCAGGCAGGCTGTATGCAATGTGCAAGGCATACATACATATATATATATATATATTATATTTAATTGTCAAATGAGAATCAAACTCGTATAAATACAAATTCAACGTTCTTATTTGTCGTAAGTTCGATACTTATTTGTAGTTGGTTGCGATTATTTTCACTTGGTTGCACATGAGCTTAATTAGTGGTTATGTTAGGTTATCTGACAGGATAATTGAGCATTGTTTGTTTGGCTCTTTCTGGGTGGAGGTCACCGAGGACGGGATACTCGCTAAGTGTTGACTGGAACGGAAATAAAATATTCAAATTGTTCATCCAGTCTTTTATTTTTATTTTGTGGCAGGTATCTTGTCTATTCTTCTAATAATAATAAAATCTGACGAAATAAAGTATTCATTCTATAAATAAATAAATAAAGACTAAACAAAATATATAATCATCGTCACGCTTGGGGCACAATCATCGTCAGCCTCTTGAATGGCATTGCAACAATCTGGAAAGCTATTAAGGTATAATGAAATTGAAGAAAAACAAATTGATAGGTAAGTAAAAGTAAAATAAATTATAAGTAAGAAAGTGAGCTTGGTACAGTGAAATACATCAAAGACGCTGTTCTAAAGCCTTTGTAGCCTCCTTACATGCAGGTACTGACAGTCGACAAGACTCCAAGATACGACTCTAATACACAAACTCAAGATCCGCTATGAGCACGTTCACATGTACTGAGGTGTTGTTCATCCAGTCTTTTATTTTTAGTTTTTGGCAGGTGTCTTCTAATAATAATAATAAAATTTGACTACATAAAATATTCATTCTATAAAAAAACTAAACAAAGTTGCTCATGTGCATTATATATATATATATATATATAT